GGGCCGAGCAGGCCGAGGCGGACGTCGGGCGGCTGCGCGCCGAGGCGGCGGCGCTGGCCGAGGAGAAGGACGGCGCCCGCGGCGAAGCTGAGGCGCTGCGCACGGCGCGCACGGACCTGGACGACGCACTGCGCACGGCGCGCAGCGAGCTCGAGTCGACGGTAAGCGACATCAGCGACTTTGACGAGGTGTCCGAGGGTTACAGGACCGAGGTGCGCCGGCTGACGGCCGAGCTGGAGCGGCTGCAGGCGCAGCTGCACCAGGCGCAGGCTGAGCGCCAGCGCGCCGATGAGCTGCACGAGTCCAACGAGAGGCTGGCGGCACGCCTCTTCCAGATGGAGAAGATCGCGCTGCGCGTCGAGCTGGCGGAGAACGAGAACGAAAACCTGAAGAGCGAGCTGGCGTACGAGCGCGAGCGCGGCAAGAAGCAGCGCGACCGTGTCAAGCAGCTCAAGAGCTTGCACGAGGTGACCAAGGACGAGGTGAGCGGTATGCAGGCCGACTTCAGTCTCGTGCACGATGAGATGGGCAAGATCCGCGCCACGCTGACGGCGCGGCTGGAGCGCGTGCAGGAGCAGAACCGCTCGCTGGAGCTTCTACAGTCCAAGCTGGATCAGGCGATGCGCGAAAAGAGCGCGCTCAAGGAGCAGCTGGAGAGCGGCATCGAGCGCAAAGAGCGTGAGCAGGCGCAGATGCTACAGGCGCTGGACAAGCTGGGAAACGAGATCGAGACGTACAAGACGGAGTGTCGCGGCCTGGGGGGCGGCGGCCCACTGGCGGAGGCGGGCGCCGCGGACGGCGCAGGGGACGCGGTCGACGGCGTCGACACATCGTCACCGGAGGGCAGCGAGGCCGGCGAGGACCAGGTGGTGGCGCTGCGCCAGGAGGTGGGCGGCTTGCAGAAGGTGTCGGAGACGTACCGCCTTCAGATGGCCGGCCTTCAGGCCGAGGTGGAGGAGGCGGCGCGACAGCGTCAGCTGCTCGAGCTGGAGAAGAAGTGCCTGCAGGACCGGCTGCAGCAGCAGCTGCGCGACAAGGAAGACGTGTCGCTCAAGATGGACGCGCTATGTTCCGACACGAACTCAGTGCTCGTGCAGCTGCGCGAGGAGAACGGCCAGCTGCGGGCGCGCGCCGAGGCCGAGCAGGCGCGCAGTGCACAGCTGGCTGCCCAGCTGGCGGAGGTCGAGCGCGACCATAAGCAGGTGAGCCGCCAGATCGAGGACGCCGGCCTGGAGAAGGACACGCTGGCGACGCGCATCGCCCTGTTCAAGACCCAGCTGAAGGAGCAGGCCGAACTGATCGACTGCTACAAGTACGAGGTGGGGACGCTGAAGCAGAACTACGACAACCTCGACTCGGAGGTGAAGCGGCAGGAGGAGCTGGCGACCTCGCTGCGAGCCATCAACGAGGAGATCGATAGGAAGTTGAGCGCCGAAAAAGAGCTTAAAAAAAACTTCGAGGACAAACTCAGTCAGAAGCTGACAGAAATGGCGCAGCTTCAAGCTAGTCATGACGCGCTCAGGGGTAAGAATGCGTGCTTAGAGGAGCAGTTAGCGAGTGCGAGTGTTGAGTCTGAAGTCCCTCCCTTAGTTAAAGTGCTGCGGGGGGAAGGAGGCGTTGTCAAGCCAGCTGGAGGGCTGTGAGGAGCGGTGGCGGGCCGCGTCTGCCGAGCTGCTGCTCCAGCAGACGCGTCTGCACGAGTCAGAGCGGCAGAACGCTGACTGCCAGCGTCAGGTGGAGTCCGTGACGCAGCTGAAGGAGGTGCTGGAGACACGCTGCTCGGAGGCGGAGCAGGAGGCGGCTGCGCTGAAGAAGAAGCTGGAGGAGGCCCACGTGGAGATGATCATCTCAAGGCGCTGCAGAGCGCGTCCGAGGACAGGGTGGAGAAGCTGACGCAGGACGTTCTGAACCAGGCATCTGGGCTGGCGCTGCAGGACGAGGTAATCGTGGAGAAAGGCAGGGAGCTGACCGAGCTCACTGTCAAGTCTCTGGACCAGGCTGCTGAGAACGCCGGTGTTCGCGGCTCGCCGCCCCTGCAGGGCGTCCAGGCGGAGACGCAGACAGAGACACAGGCTGAACCGCAAAGCCAGACGGAGACGCCGCTGGCGCCGCTCGCCGCCGAGGGGCGGCCGCGGGAGCCGGAGACCCAGGGAGGCGGGCGGGCCGGGCGGATGCCGAGCCGGACCCCCAGCAGGAGCTGGCCGGCCTGCGGCGCTCGGTCCACCTGCTGGAGCTGGAGCGCAGCCGACTGAACGCCGAGTTCGAGGCGCTGCAGCTGGTGTACGAGAATACGTCCATGACGCTGGAGGCCAGCTCTGAGCGGCTCAAGCGCGCGGAGGACGACCGGGCGCACCTGCGCCGCGTGGTGGACAACCAAGCGCGACGAGCTGGCTGGCAAGAGCGAGGAGTTCGAGGAGCGGCTGCAGGAGTACCTGCGCGAGATCACCAACAAGAACGAGGAGATCACCGTCTTCCTGACCGAGCTGAAGCAGAACCAGGACGAGATGGACGACGCCAAGGCGAGCGTCGGCCAGCTGCAGGACATCATCCGCACCAAGGAGAGCACGCTGCGCACGCTCAGCGCCGAGCTGGCCACCGCCAAGAGTCGGGCGCAGACGCAGAACGAGCGCTTCCTGGCGCGCGAGGCCGAGCTCACGCGCAAGCTGCAGGAGGAGAAGGAGATGTTTCATCAGCCAGCTGACGGAGGTGCGCGAGACGATGCGCTCCTCCATCGGCACCATGCAGGCCAAGATCCAGCAGCTGAACGAGCTGCTCAAGAGCCAGGATCTGAAGCACCACGTGGAGCTGAGCCGCGTGCGCTGCGAGTACGAGCAGCAGCTGGACGAGCTGCAGCAGGCGCTGGCGGGCGTGCGCAGCCAGTGCGAGCTGGCCATCGACGAGCTGATCTCATCGCACCGGAGCCAGCTGGACGAGCTGGCCGGCCGGCTGGAGGAGACGCGGCGCGAGCTGGAGCAGCTGGCCGGCCGCCGCCAGCAGGACTGGGACGCGGCGCAGGCCGAGGCGCTCCAGCGGCTGGCCGCCGTTACCGGCGAGCACCAGCAGGCCGTGACGCGCCTGCAGGCGGACCACGAGGCGCGCGTGCTGCGCCTGCGACAGGCGTACGAGCAGCGCGTACAGCAGCTGAGCAGCCGGACGGAGGAGGGCCGCGCGAGCTATCAGCGCAGCCTGGCGTCGGCCGAGCACCGGCTGCTGGCGCTGGAGGCCGAGCTGGAGGAGGCGCGCCAGACGCACCAGCGCAGCGAGCGCGCCCTGGCCGAGGAGCACCGCGAGGAGCTGGCGGCGCTGGTGCGCAGCCAGAGCTACCGGGCCGATTCGACGCCCGAGGTCAGTGGCCGGGTCGAGCCAGGCCGCCCGCCGGCGAGCTGGACTAACTGCACGGGACGGCGCACCTGCCGACTGCCGCCGCCGCCGCCGCCGCTGCGGCCGTCCTGCATCGGCGGTCGGCGCGCTACTCCACCTCTGGAAGCGGAACGGAGTTTAGCTAGTGATGCACCGCCGCCACGGCTGCTGTGTGGAGTTTAGACATTGCCACTGCACCAGTCTGGTTGCAGTGGAGTGTGGAGGCTGCTCCTGTCCCGCTCGTCAGCAGCAACTGAGTGACGTCCAACCAGCAGTGTGACCTCAACAGCGTCACGCGGAACGTGACCCGAGCGGCACCTGCCCGAGGAGTGTAACCCCGAGTTGAAGTCAACCCAACCGAGTGTGGCCCTTGTAGAATCGATCCACCGAATGTAGCCCTGACAATATCTGCCGACGTAGTGCTGCCCTAGATTACCAACTCACCGTGTGTTACTAACGACATCGTCTCGTCGAATGTGACAGCTGTAGAGAAGCGACTGGGAGGTCTCCAGAGGAATGGAAGTGTGTTGGATCTGTCCCGTTTGAGCTTTGTTTGACGTTTGTGTGCACTAACCGCCGTGTTGACGGATCTCATGACTGATGGGCCTTGTGGTTTGTATGCGGAGACGTCAGGAGATGCCCTGCGCGCCTGATAACTATGCTGGCTATGCCTCTGTCCCGTTATCATGCAGTCTTTGGCGCTGATTTTGAACTAGTCTGCAGTTTATTTTGTTGGAGCAGAGAGTTGCAGTGGCATTGTGGATGGTTCACTGCTTTGGCACCAAAGGACACTCACTGGCATACTCAAACTCTGGACGTCATGTTTCATTTATCGGGCAAGCCACTTTTGAAGCAGTACGTTTTCTCCTGTATTTAATGTTTTGTTCGTTTACCATCTAAACTATAAGCTCACCAACAATGCACTTTGTTTGACTTCGTCCACTGCTGGTGTACTGACGCCGTGCCGTGCTGTGCCCGCCCCGCAGAGGGAGGAGTGCCTAGAGAAGTCGGACGAGATCCGGCGACTGGAGGCGTCGGCCGCCGCGCTGCACGCGCGAGTTGGCCGCGCCGAGGAGGCCGGACGGACAGCGGCAGGCGCAGCTGGCTGATCTCCAGGCCGCTGCCGATCAGCTGCAGACCAGGTTAGTGGAGGCGGAGCGCGGCGCCAGCCTGCTGCGCGCAGAAGCGGGACGTGCAGGCCGAGCGGGCCGCGCCAGCTGGCCGCCGCCCTGGAGACGGCCGAGGAGGCGGCGCGACAGGCGGACGAGCGGCTGGCAGAAGAGCAGAGCCGGGCAGAGCAGCTCCGGGGAACGCTGGAGGAGGCACAGAAGGACACGGAGGGCCTCGGAGCTAAGCTGGAGGAAAGACAGCAGGACACGGAGGGGCTCCGAACCAAACTGGAGGAGGGCCAGAAAGAAACGGAGGGGCTCCGAGCCAAACTGGAGGAGGGGCAGAAGAAAGAAACAGAGGGGCTCCGAGCCAAACTGGAGGAGGGGCAGAAAGAAACGGAGGGGCTCCGAGCCAAACTGGAGGAGGTGGCAGAAAGAAACGGAAGGACTCCAAGCTAAACTGGAGGAGGGGCAGAAAGAAACGGAGGGGCTCCGAGCCAAACTGGAGGAGGGGCAGAAAGAAACGGAGGGGCTCCGAGCCAAACTGGAGGAGAGGCAGAAAGAAACGGAAGGGCTCCGAGCCAAACTGGAGGAGGGACAGAAAGAAACGGAGGGACTCCGAGCCAAACTGGATGAGGGGCAGAAAGAAACGGAGGGACTCAGAGCCAAACTGGATGAGGGGCAGAAAGAAACGGAGGGGCTCCGAGCCAAACTGGAGGAGGGGCAGAACGAAACGGAGGGCTCCGAGCCAAACTGGAGGAGGGGCAGAACGAAACGGAAGGGCTCCGAGCCAAACTGGAGGAGGGACAGAAAGAACGGAGGGGCTCCGAGCCAAACTGGAGGAGGGGCAGCAGAAAGAAACGGAGGGACTCCAAGCTAAACTGGAGGAGGGGCAGAAAGAAACGGAGGGACTCCGAGCCAAACTGGAGGAGGGGCAGAAAGAAACGGAGGGGCTCCGAGCCAAACTGGAGGAGGGACAACAAGAACGGAGGGGCTCCGAGCTAAACTGGAGAATAGCCAACAGGAGGTGGAGGGTCTTCGATCCAAACTGGAGGAGGGGCAGCAGGAGGTGGCGAAGGCCGGAGGCAAACTGGAGGGGCGCAACAGACGATGGAGGAACTCCGAAAGAAATTGGAGCAGGAACAAAGTGAGACGGAGGTGCTCCGAGCTGAATTAAAGAACGCTGAGGGGCTTCGGGCCGAGCTGGAGGGAGCAGAAGGTAAGATAAAGGGACTGCAGGCCCAGATGGAGGAGGCACAAAGCGCTTTGGTAGACTACCCGAACCAAATTGGAGCAGGCACAAAGGGAATCTGAGGAGCTCGGAGCCAAACTTGAGCAGGCGCAGCACGATTCCAATGGACTCCGGGTCCAATTAGAAGAGGCAGAGGGCCTGCGAGCCAAATTGGAGCACGTGGAGCGAGAGGCTGCCGAAGAGCTTCAAACCAAGCGGGATGACCTGCGGGTGGCTGATCAGCAGGCGGCAACGCTGCGCGCCGAGCTGGACACCGTGCAGAAGGAGGGACACCGGCACAGAGACGAACTGGAGGCTTCTCAAGCTGAGAACGCCGCGCTTTAAGACAAAGGTGGAACATCTAGAAAGAGACTGCAGTAGTAAAGACACAGAGCTGAGTTCCGCGTTGTTGGATCAGACAGAATCTGTGTCAAGAGTTCGGCAGCTTGAAGAAGAGCTGCGTCAGAAGACCGCTGAGCAGCTAAGTACTCTCGCTGATAAGAGTAGTGCGGACAGCAGAATAGAAGCTCTAGAGCAAGAACTTCATCGGGGTGCTGCAGCCGTCGACTCGGCTACCTCGGAAAATGGATCCATGCAGTTACGACTACTGGAATTGGAGAAACTTCTGGAGCAGAAGACCGGTGTGAACTTGTAACTGTCCTCAGCGAACGAGAGGAGCGGGATGCGAAGGTACAAAGCTCGAGTGCGGCATTGCTGCAGAAGACTGCTGATGCCGAGGCCCTTGCTTCCAAGCACGCTGACCTGGAAGCAGCGCTAGCTTGCAAGACCGACGAGGCGGCGAAAGCGTCGGAAGCGCTGTGTCTGGCCCAGACGACACTGGGTGACGTGCAGACAGAGCTGCAGCGTGAACGGTCATCGGCCGAGGAGCGGGAGGTCGAGCTCGGCCGCCTGAGGGCGGAGCTGGCCGCCCAGCAGTCGGCCGCCGGCGCCGCCTCGGGCCAGCTGTCCGACCTGACGGCCGAGCGGGACGCGGCTGTTGCCCGGCTGCAGGAGCGCGACGCCCAGCTGGCCAGTGCGGAGGCCTCGGTCGCCGAGCGCGAGGCCGAGTTGGCGCGCCTGCAGGCCGAACGGGCGGAGGAGGAGGAGAGCGGGGCGCGGCGTCGAGCTCGAGGCCGCGCGCCAGGCAGCTGGCCCAGGCGACGAGCAGGCGGCCGCCTGGGAGCGCGAGCGCGTGGCGGTGGCCGAGACGCGCGACGATCTGGAGCGACGCGTCTCTGAGCTGGAGGAGCAGTTGGCAGAGAAGCAGCGTCAGTACGCGGTGGCCAGCGCCGCCAGCGTGGAGCTGGAGCGCCGGCTGGAGCAGGGCCTGGTGGACCGGCAGGAGGCGGAGCGGCGTGCCGAGCAGGCCGACATCCGACTCAAGAACGGCCAGAACGAGCTGGACACGCTGCGTGGCGCGCGCGAGCGGCTGGAGTTGGACACGCTCCGGCTCCGCGACGAGCTGAAGACGCTGACCGTAGGCAAGGTGAGCGTGGAGCGCGATCTCGACGACTGGAAGGAGAAGCCTGCGCGATGCCGAGAACGAGAAGGAGCGGCTGGAGGAGAAGCAGGAGCTGAACCGGCCAAGGAGCTGGAGGAGTCGGATGGCGGCGCGCCTGGAGGAGGGCGTTGGCTTCGCGCAGCGACGCGGAGGACCCCGCCCTCGCAGCAGCTGTGGGGAGGGCAGAGTGTGGAGGCGGGCAGCTGAGGGCAAGCGGTTTCGCTGCAGATAACGAACGACTCCAGGCGCGCCGTGGAGGAGCTGGAGAGGCGAGGCGAAGCGCCGCCCAGGATTCAGGTGACCGGTCGGCAGACGGCCGCTTCGGCGGAGAAGCCGATCACCATCAGGACGCTCACGCTGGAGAAGGCAGGTGCTCGCCGAGCGGGTGCTGCAGCTCGAAGACCGGCTGAAGGGACGAACGCAAGCTCGACCCACGAGGCCACCAGTTGTGAAGTTGGCGGAGCTGGAGCGGCGGAGCGCGTCCGCCAGGCCGCCGGCTGAGCCGCCGGCCGCCGGCCAGCCGGGGGCGACGACGCCGAGGGGCTGCGGGCCCCGCCTGCTGGCGCAGGACGGCGAGCTGGTGCAGTTGCGCAGCGAGAGGGATGCGCTGCAGTGTTCGGGTGCCAAGCACAGTGCCCGCATCGGTGAGCTGGAGGCCAGCCTGGAGCAGCTGGCCGCCGAGGTGGGCCGGCTGGAACGCGGCGGCGGCGCCTCCTCGGTGTCCGCTCCGGCGCCCGGCGAGCGGCCGGTTGAGCGGCGTCAGGCGGCGGCTGTCGGCGCCGCTCCGGTCTCCGCCGCCGCCGAGCGGCCGCCGTCGCCCGGCCCGGCCCGGCGCCGCCCGTCTCAGAGCTGGAGGCGCTGATCGGTGTCGGGTGCCCCCCGGTCCCGGGCGCCCCCCGGCGAGCAGGAGCCGCCCCGCAGCGAGGCTGAACACCTGCAGCGCCAGCTGACGGAAGCTGGCCGAGCGCAGTGAGGGTGGAGCGGCGGCGGCTGCAGGAGCAGTTGGATGCCGAGCGAGCCAAGAACACGTGAGTCCGCCGGGCGCCGCTGGCGTCGCCACTGCGTGTCTCGTGTGGTCGCGCCCCCGCTGAGGTGGCCATCGGCTGCCGTCGCTGGTCTGCAGTGCCCGGCTCGACGCCCAGCCTGCGGCGCTCTGCCTGCCGGGCCTGGTCATTGTTCCAACTCGCTTCGCTTACTAACCTTGCGTGCTGTCGAGTTCAGCCGCGCCAGGTGTTGACAGCGGATGAGCGTATGTCTCATTCGCCGGATTCTTGGGTGCCACTGTTGCATGATTTAGATATTTTGCTGCCAACTAAATGGTGACGCTGTAATGCATGCAGGCCATACGGCTTCAGTTTTATTCAGCTGGTATGCTTCAAACGTGAAATGATAACAGCAACATCTGGTCGTGGTTATCCGGCCAGCTGGTATTCCTTTGCCGTCTTTATTCCTCTTCCTGATTGACCCTGTTTTCTTGATGCCTGGCTTCTGCCCTCCCATCAGCGCTGGTGGTCTCGGAATGGGGTCATTTCTGTCCAACACGTTGCCAGTTTGTGCGGAAAGTTATTTCAAAAGCTAGCCGGCCCGAAATTTCACTGACGCAGAGCTAATGCCAAGCTGCCAGCTTGATTAACTAGCTGAGGGAGCGGTACCGATTTTCAATAAGTACAAGCTTCCAGGCACGTGCAGCAAAAAGGAGGCATGCATGCCAAATGCGGACAGCTGAGGACGATTCCCTAAAAGGTACGTTAGCGAAGACACTCATTCAGACTGGCACTCCAGCGGTCGCGCCGGGGCTTCTGGTCATACCGTTGTTGTGTCAGCGCTATGTTGTGGCTGCGTGACTAACTCCTGCCGTTATGAAGCCGATAATTCTGGCCTCAAATCTTCCGTCAACTGGCTTATTCACTGACTCCGAACACATTTGGGTATGCGTGCCCCCACCCCCCACCCCTCACCCCACCCCCACCCCACCCAACCGATGCACGATCACTGGTCGATGGTGGCGTGGTAAACGAAACGAGCCGTCACATGGGATGAGCGCAATGATGGCCTCGCCAGAGTTCGCGTCGTGTTCAGTGTGCCGCCGTCCCGGCAGTGCGTCTCTGTGACGAGAGCAGCCGCCTCCTGGTGAAGAGCGTCACGGAGGACTTTGAGCAGCGGTCTGCGCGAGCAGGAGCAGGGCCACCAGCGACAAGCTCCAGCAGCTCATGGGTCCGTACCACCGCCGCCGCTGCGCTCAGCAACAGTGGCGCAGGCTGACACCCAGTGATTGGGCGAGAGCGGCAATGCCTCCTTTTGTCTTGCGTCCTGCATATGTGCGTGAATTGGTGACTCTTGCTGGAAAAGTAATGTACGACTACCTGTCCCCAGTATTGCGCAGGTGCTGATGTGTGGTGTGTGCGTGTGCGTGTGCGTCCGCATGCGTGTGTATGTGCGCGCGCGTGCGTGCGTGCGGTTGTGGAATGTCGTCTGACAGTAGCTCACTGCGCCGTAACCGTGGCCGGCCCTCAGGCAAGGCGGAGCACCACGAGGGCTACCTGACTCAACAGCACCGGGACCGCGTGCGCTCCCTCTACCGAGAGATCGACGACAAGGTGGAGGCCATCGACCTGACGCGCTCCCAGCTGAAGGTGAGGCGTTGCCCGAGCCGGTCGGCCGTCCTGCTGTCCTGCCTTCCTGCCTTCCTGCCTCCCTGCCTCCCTGCCTTCGTGCCTTCCTGCCTCCCTGCCTCCCTGCGCCGGCCGTCCTGTCGTCCTGCACCGACCGCCCTGCCGTTCTGCGCCGGCCGTCCTACCGCCCTGTGCCAGCCGTTCTGCCGTCTTCCGTCCTGCGCCGGCCATCCTGCCGTCCTGCGCCTGCCGCCCTGCCGTCCTGCGCTGGCCGTCTGCCATCCTGCGCCGGTTGTCCTACAGTCCTGCACCAACTGTTTGTCGTCCTGCGCCGGCCGTCTCGTCCCGCGCCGGCTGTCCGTCGTCCTGCGCCGGCTGTCTGCCGCCATGCCGGCGTGACGCCGCCGCCGTCGGCCCGGCCTGTGATCGCCTGCTCGCTCAGGCTACGTCGGCAACGTTGCATCGTTGTCCCATCACCGAGTGGTGCTTCTCTGAATGTTGGCTCGGGGGCAATGCTCACTGTGCAGTGCGAAGGCGCTCACTGCATCATTCGATGCGTTCTGACTGTCTCTGCTGGACAGCGCCACCCCGCCAGGATGCGTGCCCGTTGCTTGTGATGTGCCGGGCGCGGTCGGCCGGCCGCCGGGGCAAACGTGGAGGGTTGCTGACAGTGTGCGGTGGGCCCGCAGGACCGCGAGGGCCAGCTGAAGACGCTGCGGGACGACTACGAGCGCCAGCTGGAGCAGATGCGGGACCAGTTCTCCACCCAGCTGGAGGAGACTGTGCAGCGCGGCCTCGCAGGCAGCGGCTGGAGAAAGCTGGAGCAGGAGCTGCAGGCTGAGCGACAGGTGATCCCTCCCCCCCCCCCCCCCCCTCCCCTTGGCCTGTCACAGCTGCTCGGATGGACTCTGTTGCGTCCGTTTTGGCGACCTGGCGTCGTTTTTTGGATCTCACTTATTTTGTCTGAACTTCTCCCTTCCCTCCTCCTAACTCTGTGGTCAGATGTTACTTGCCGTGCTGGCCTGGCCTCCCACTGATGCCTTCTCGGAATGCAGCGTGTTTTTGTCTGATATGGCGTTTGCGGTCAGCGTGCAAACAGTAGCCGGCTCTCTAGTGTTGTACTGAACTGTCGTTTGCTTGTGATCCCAATAACACTGGCCCGCCTCAGCGCTGAGGGATGGTCGTTGATCGTTGGACTGTCGTTTCTGTGGTCCCAATATTACTGGCCCGCCTCAGCGCTGAGGGCTGGCCGCTGGTCGTTGGACTGTCGTTGCTGTGATCCCAATAACACTGGCTGCCTCAGCGCTGAGGGCTCGCCGCTGACCGTGTCTCGTTGTTTCCGTTTTGTAGCTCGCGGAGGAGGCGTCGCAGACTGAACAGGGTGCGTTGCCCGTCTGCTCTGGGATGCTGCGCATGCGCACCATCCTACTGTGCAACACACGCTGTACTCGCCGACCGTAGGGCTTGGCTGACCGATAAGAGGACGGCAACTTAGGAAGCGCTCTGAAACCGTCTGTGGCTCTTTGCCATGGGGACCCAGTAACCCAGCTGGGAGAGTACTCCCGTCCGAGTGGTCTCGGGTTTTAGTTTTGTCAGTGTGCGTTAAGTCAGCTCTAATTCATCCATGTGTCCTACCCTGTGTACCTGCAGCAGCCTGGCACTGTACGACGTACCCTCAACCCCGACGGCTCGCCTTCGCTCGCATCAATGGCATGGGATTCTATCTGATGTAATGACATTACTGACGGCAGTACAATCATTGATGGCGCGGGGCAAACAGCAGGGTATAGCCACATTTGAGCGGGAACTCCAAATGTCCTGAAGTGTCGTTTGCCACATTATCATCCCAAGGAACCGAAGGAGAATGTTGCCTTTAACCCAACCTCACGCAATGCACGTTGTACAAGTCTGCGCCGTGCCGCAACTCTGCACTGTGTGGGAAGTATTGCTTCGGACCCTCGGCGAGTGGGCCGCCTGTGACCCGTGGAGTGACCTCTGGCGGCCCTTGTGATGGACGCTGTGACCCCCGGCACCTGAGCGAATGACGCCCTGCGGGTGACGCCCCCTCCCACCCGCCAGCGGCTGGAGGACACCAGCCCGGGGTGGCGGCCGCCGCTGTCGAGACGGGCACCACCAGCCTGGAGACCATACCGCAGGCAGGTGCTGGCCCAGCACAAGCAGATCGAGCAGATGCGCAAGAAGCACAAGTGAGTCCGGCCGCACCGGCCGCTGATGAGTCCTCCTGTGAGGCGGTGATGTGACCGCTGACGACAGTCTCTCCCGCGTGTCGGTGATGTGACCGCTGATGACAGTCCCGTCTGTGGGTCGGTGATGTGACCGCTGATGACAGTCCCGTCTGTGGGTCGGTGATGTGACCGCTGACGACAGTCCCGTCTGTGGGTCGGTGATGTGACCGCTGACGTACAGGTCCCGTCTATGGGTCCGGTGATGTGACCCGCTGATGACAGTCCCGTCCTATGGGTCGGTGATGTGACCGCTGACGACAGTCCCGTTCTGTGGGTCGGTGATGTGACCGCTGACGACAGTCCCGTCTGTGGGTCGGTGATGTGACCGCTGACGACAGTCCCGTCTGTGGGGTCGGTGATGTTGACCGCTGATGACAGCCCCTCCTGTGGGTCGGTGGTGCGACCGGCGCCGGCCGTCGGTGACAGTCCCTCTTGTGGGTCGGTGATGTGACCGCTGATGACAGTCCCCCTGTGGGGCGGTGGTGTGACCGGTGCCGGCCGTCGGTGACAGTCCCTCTTGTGGGTCGGTGATGTGACCGCTGATGACAGTCCCCCTGTGGGGCGGTGGTGTGACCGGCGCCGGCCGTCGGTGACAGTCCCGCCTGTGGGGCGGTGGTGTGACCGGCACCGACCGCTGATGACAGTCCCTCCTGTGGGTGGGTGGTGTGACCGGCGCCGGCTGTCGGTGACAGCCCCTCCTGTGGGTCGGTGGTGTGACCGGCGCCGGCTGTCGGTGACAGCCCCTCTTGTGGGTCGTTGATGTGACAGCTGATGACAGTCCCTCCTGTGGGTCGGTGTGTGACCGGCGCCGGCTGTCGGTGACAGCCCCTCCTGTGGGTCGGTGGTGTGACCGGCCGGCTGTCGGTGACAGCCCCTCCTGTGGGTCGGTGATGTGACCTATGGGTCGGTGACATGACCGCTAGTTGGCGTGAGCCGTCGCAAGCGGCGCGTGCCGTCGAACCCAAGGCCTCGCGGTGCGGCCGCGCCGGCCGCCGGGGCGACGCGCGTGCGCGGCAGCCGCCCTGGGTGTGGTGGTCTGGGTGGCTGCTGACATACCATAAAGCCTGCTAAGGAAATTGACGCGGACGTTTCCTTGGGGCCACGGAAACGTTCACGTCCACCCGGGTCTGGTAGACGACAGATGTCGTACTGTCAGCGTGTCATGTGTGTCAGCATGCCATGTGCGTCACGTGCAGCCGGTGTCCGGCAGACGCGAGGTGGCGGAGCTGCGGCGGCTGCTGGAGCTGCGTGCTGCGCCGCCGGCGCACGGCCAGCCCGGGCTCGACCCCGACACCGAGCTCGAGTACCTCAGGAACATCCTCTTCGAGTACATGATGGGCAAGGAGCCGCTGGTGAGCTCGCCGCGCGCGCTACCCCGGCCACCAACTTGGATGGCTGAGATGCCGCAAATTTCAGTAGTGGCTGGTGGGTGCTTGGGGAAATTGAGCGATACTGATTAAACTAGGCGGAGCAGCCGCGACCACCTTCAAACAGTGTCCTGCTCTGGCGATCGGGACGGCGTCACGTCTCCACGAACGTCACCAGCACGTGGTCTGAGGGAATGGCGTGGTGAAGCAGCCGCGCGGCCGCGAGGGCCGGTTAGATGTTGATGATACATCTATTGGCGCGCTCCATTTGTATGGCAACCGTGAAAGCCATGGTTTCCAGATGTGAAATCCATTCCATATTGTTAGGTGCACTGATGTGGGGTGGCATGACATCTGCCGTCGTTTGTGCAGACGCTGGCCAAGGTGATCGCGGCGGTGCTGAAGTTCAGCTCGGACCAGACGGAGAAGGTGCTGGAGAGGGAAGAACACCGCCAGTCGGCGGTGAGTGCCATCTAACACTGGTCAGATGAACCTGCACTGGCCTGTGACGCCGATGCACGCATGCTTACGGTGGTGTCAGATGGTGCCGCCTGTGTAGTTCTAGCCGGGCCGCGCCAACACCACTTCCGGCTTGAAGGGGCGGAAAGTAGGTCATACCAGCGAAATTCAACTGAAGTGGGGATGTTTCTGACTCGACAGAGGCATCGGCAGGCGTCTTGCGATGTTCTTGGGATATTTCGTGCGGCTATAAATGCAGGCCGCCGCTCCGAGGCTCCGTCTTGCATCTCCGGCCTCCTGCCGCGCAGCCAGTGGCAACGTTCCCGAGCCGCGTCACGTGCTCCATCTTAGGACCAGCCTCCGGCTCGAGTTCCCAGGCCGGCATTCCGACCTCGCCTGCGCGGCTTACAGCGTTGACAGCCATCGGCGTGTCGCACGGCGGTAACAGCTGCCCATGC